GTGTGTGTGTGTGTGTGTGTGTGTGTGTGTGTGTGTGTGTCCCTGTCGCCCCCTGCTGGAGAGGAAGAGTCCCTCTCCGTGTGTATGCGTGAGTGCAAGCAAACTATCTGCCCTCTGCTGGCTGCGGTCGGATTTCTCTGACACCGTATCCTATGCACCGTACTGCTCCCGACTGAGGGGGATTCTCTATTCACCTAAAGGGCAGGGGCTGGAGCTTTACAAATGGGAGGCAGTGGCCCGTACCCCACTGTCGCTGAGCAGGATGTGGGAGGGGGATGGTACCGTCACCCCTATCCGAGGCCCTAACGTGACTATCCCAGGATATTCGGGCCCCCGGGTCACCGGAAACTGAACTGTGAATCTTCCTCCACAGGGAGCAGAGATTGGAGTCGAAGGGGAAGTTGAAATCGGCCCTGAGTTCAGGTATGGCGGTAATTCTCCTTCCCACAGCCAGGGAAGTTCCCACCCCCTACCCCACCGCACTCCTCGCTGGGGCGGGGCGCCTTGGGGAGACGGAACCAGGGCCAGCTCTAGGCACCAGTGCTCCAAGCATGTGCTTGGGGCGGCACTTTCCAAGGGGCGGCACTCCGGCTCCTTTTTTTTTTGCTTGGGGCGCAAAAAGCCGGGAGCCAGCCCTGAGCAGAGGTGAGCTGCGGCGGTGGGGGGTGCGGGGAGGGCCGCAGGAAGTAACCCTGGGGGGGCCGGAGGAACTGCTCCCCCGCCCCAGCTCACTGCCGCTCCACTGCCGCCTGCTCCCCCGAGCCCGCTGCCGCTTCTCCCCCCTCCCTCCCAGGCTTTCCTGGGACGGAGGGGTAGGAGGGGAAATGTGGTGTGCCCAGGGGAGGAGGTGGGGCTGGGGATTTGGGGAAGGGGTTGGAGTGGGCGGGGGAAGGGGCGGAGTTTGGGGGGGCATGGGAAAATTTTTTTGCTTGGGGCGGCAAAAAACTTGGAGCCGGCCCTGGCCGGAACTCCCTCACCCCGTGCCCCACAGTACCCCGTGTGGCTGCCCCGGGTCTCATCGCTCTGTCACCCCCTCAGCCAGGCACAGGAGTAGCCTCACCTTCGTGACCATCTACAGCGCCCTGTCGAACTCACTGGACAAGCTGACGGGCGGGAAGCTGAGACAGGTAGGGGGCGCCGGGGGGGCCGGGCGGCAACGGGCGGGGGGCGAGGATGGGTGGGGGAATGTAGGGACTCACTTGGGTGGGGGCTCAGCTAGGCGAATCACACGTGGGATCCAGCCCCCTCCCATTCGGCCTCCCTCAGTGTGACGAGTTTGCCGGCCCTTGGTCCCCGGGGCTGAGCCCCCATCCCCAGGCGCCACCCAGCTCCCCAGGGGAAGGGCCAGGCAGGCCACGGAGCCTGAGCCCACATCTGCCTCCGGCGTAGGGCCCCCAGGGCAAGGGGACTGTATGTGCTGGGGGAAGGGGGCTGGCACCATTCCCATCCCCCATAATCCCCTGCACCGCTTGTGCCCTGAGCCCCCCCCCTCCCCCGGCACCCTCTGCCCTGAGCCCCCCAGCCCCGAGCCCTGTCTGATTCTCTGTGCCCTTCTCCCCAAAGAGAAGAAGCCAGGAAGATGCCAAGACGCAGTTGTCTTCTAAGCCCTCCAAGCGGGTCACCATCTCGGGCGTGGTGGAGCTGTCGGGCCAGGGCAGCCAGGAGACCAGCTCCGTGGCACCCTCAGCTATGGAGAGCAGCGGGGAGCAGGGCCCGGCTGGCTCCGGGGCGGCTCCACAGCGGGAGAGCGGCCCACTGCCCAAGGCGCAGTCTGGGGGATCTAGAGCCGTCACAGCTCCCAGCTCGCCCGAGCGATCCAGAGCCTCCGTGGGCGTGGGGCGCTCGGCCGTGGCCACGGCCTCCGTGGGCGTGGGGCGCTCGGCAGTAACCACAGCGTCGGTGGCAGCAGGTCCTTCCAGGCTGGGCAGTGCCCAGCCCTCAGGGATGGGCAGAGAGATGGAGCCAGGCGGGAGATCCAGGGAGCCGAGCATGGAGAGGAGCCAAGCCCAGCTGGGCCTCGCCAGCCCCTCCACGGAGCAGGGCAGGTCCCGTTCCCGGAGCCCCACGGGGACGCCGAGCCAGCCAGGGTCTAGCGCCGTGTCCAGAGATTCTGGAGCAGCTGGGCCTTCAGAGCGATCCAGAGTCTCGGTGGCTGCCGGCCCTTCGGAGATGGCCACGGTGTCGGTGGCCGTGGGTCCGTCCGAGCTGGGGCCGCGGAGCAGCGCCCGGCCCTCGGGGAGGGACCAGCTGAGCCTGCCAGGCAGGGGATCTAGAGAGCGCAGCAAGGCGGGGAGCCAGAGTGGAAGTCGAATCACCTCCCCGAGCGCCATCAGGGAGGCTGGGACCCCCGGCGCCGTGGCTGCTCTGGGCATGGAAGGCGATGATGTATCTAGAGAGACATCCAAGAAGTCCAGAGCCTCTGTGGCTCCAGGTTCTGCTGAGAAATCCAGAGCCTCTGTGGCTCCAGGTTCTGCTGAGAAATCCAGAGCGTCGGTGGCTCCAGGTTCTGCTGAGAAATCCAGAGCCTCTGTGGCTCCAGGTTCTGCTGAGAAATCCAGAGCGTCAGTGGCTCCAGGTTCTGCTGAGAAATCCAGAGCGTCGGTGGCTCCAAGTTCTGCAGAGAGATCCAGAGTCTCGGTGGCCGCTGGCCCATCAGAGAAATCCAGAGCATCCGTGGCCGCCGGCCCTTCACAGCTGGCTACGGTGTCGGTGGCCGTGGGACAGTCCGAGCCAGGGTCTCTCAGCAGCGCCAGGACCCTGAGGACAGATGCTCAGAGAGCTCCCCGCGCGGGGAAAAGTCGGCTCAGCTCCCCGTGCTCCGGGGCTCCTCTGGGGACGAAGGCCGGCGACACATCCCCGGGCAGAGCCTCCCTGGGGAGATCCGGGGAGCAGAGCCGAAGCCAGGCCAGGGAGGAAGGAGGGGCCCGTTCCCAGAGCCCCTCGAGCCAGGCGCCCCATGCGAGAGCTGCAGTCTCCAAGGGCCAGGGGCCCAGCAGCACCCGGCCCTCGCAGCTGGACAGACAGGGGGAGCTGGGCTGGGGATCCAGCAGACCCAGCACCACGAGGAGCCGGAGCAAAGGTCGGCAGGAAGACAAGCGGGACCCCTCTGAGGGGCACGCCGCCAGCAGGTAGGCGGGGCTGGAGCGCGTCACGTCAGCTGTGCGTGTTCGGCAGAGGCCGCTACCGCAGGACTCCTGGGTTCTGCCCCCGGCTCTGGGAGGGGAGTGGGGACTAGTGGTTGGGGAGTGGGGACATTGGGAGTCAGGACTCCTGGGTTCTATCCTCGGTCTGAGACTGACTTTCTGTGACCCCGGGTTAAGCCTCGTGCCTCAGTTTCCCCCACTACACTGTAGGGCTGTGTTTCCTCCCCGCTGGGCTGTGTAGGGGAGCACTGCACTCCCTGAGGGCCTGCGGGGGAGGCTGCAGAGGGACAGGGGCCCAGGAGACCCTAGAGATCCTGACTGGATGCTCTCTCCTCTCTCTAGGACAGGCAGCCGTGTTTCCTGGGGGCTCAACGGTCGCCCCCATTCCTCCTACCCACTGCTCCTGAGACTCAAGACTTCATAAGCTTAGCTCAGGTCTGGGCCGTTGCCAGGAGCTTCTCTCATCAGTCCAGGAGGGGAGTGGGGTCTAGTGGTTAAAGCAGGGAGAGCTGGGAGCCAGGACTCCTGGGTTCTCTCCCCGGCTCTGGGAGGGGACGGGGTCTAGTGATTAGAGCAGGGTAGGGTTGAGGGAGGGGGCAGGACTCCTGGGTTCCATACCCAGCTCGGGTCGGCCGGACCAGCCTTCCATTCCATGAAACATGGGGGCGTTTTGAGATTTGCTTCCCTTGCGATGCTGAACAGAGACGAGGCCTGTTGAATGCGTTCCCTGGCCAGCCGGGACCTGGGGGCGCTCTCCTGGCGTGGCCACCTGCCCGCCACCAGGGCACAGCCCTGCCATGTGATGCCTCTGCTCTGCCCCATTTGGGTGAGGGACCTGAACCAGGGCGTGGCAGTGGCCGGGAGCTACCCAGGGCTGTGATGGACCCCCTTGCCCTGAGTGCTGTGTGGAGGGGGGGTCTGCTCCCCAACTCCATAGGAAAAGCAAGGTCCCCCCCCAGACCCACGCAGGGCAGCCCTACAGGCACACCCCAACCCTCACGTGTCCTCCTGCAGCCTCTAGGCCCTGGGCACCCCGGTATACCAGCCCCCCTCCGCTCCCCGCGCTGCATTAACCCCCAGCATTTGGCCCCACGTCTCGTGAGCCCCAATCCACGCAGGTTTTGCAGCGCTAGACTCAAGCAGTCTCGGCCCTCCCGCCCCAGTCCTGCCAGCCTGCCTGGGACCCCCCATTCATGAGACAGGCCCGCGAAGGATCCTGGTGGCGCATCTCCACCAGCTCAAACTCCTGCGTCTGGCCTGGGTCATCTGGCCCGGACTGCCGGGCTAGACAATTGCAGCGGAGCCATTCGGGCCCCGGGTTCTGGGCCCTTCCCCCTCACGGCCATTTTTTTTCTTCTTTATGTTTTCAAGCCAATTCCCTTCCCCTTGCTGTGCATTTCAGCAGTTTCTGGCAAGAATATTGTTTTCAGCCAATATTTTGTTTGTTTCTTGCCAATTGTTGGTCAACATTAGTTTCAATTTTCAGCCACTGTTTTAGGGTTTTTAGGCCAATTTTTGTGTTTGTTTTCCAATTTTTGGTTATTCCCCCCCCCCTCCCCAATTTTCAGCCTTTTTTTTTCTTCTTTGGACATTTTTTTTGTTTGTTTCTTGACAATTTTTGGTCAAAATTAGGGCTGTTGATTAATCACAGTTAACTCACGCGATTAACTCCAAAAAAAGGAATCATGATTAAAAAAATTAATCACAGTTTTAATCACACTGTTAAACAATAGAATACCAATTGAAATGTATTAACTATTTTTGGATATTTTTCTACATTTTCAAATATATTTATTTCAATTACAACCCAGACTACAAAGTGCACAGTGCTCATTTTATATTCTTATTTTTATTACACATATTTCCACTATAAAAATGATAAACAAAAATAGTATTTTTCAATTCACCTTATAAAAGTACCGTAATGCAATCTCTTTATCGGGAACGTGCAACTTACAAATGTAGATTTTTTTTTTTGTTACGTAACTGCACTCAAAACCAAACAATGTAAAACTTAGAGACTACAAGTCCACTCAGTCCTACTTCTTGTTCAGCCAATCGTTCAGACAAACAAGTTTGTTTACATTTACGGGAGATAATGCTGCCGGCTTTTTATTTACATCGCACCAGAAAGTGAGAACAGGCGTTCGCATGGCACGTTTGTAGCCGGCATTACAAGGTATTTATGTGCCAGATATGCTAAATGTTCATATGCCCCTTCATGCTTCGGCCACCATTCCAGAGGACAAGCTTCCGTGCTGATGATGCTTGTTAAAAAAATAATGCGTTAATTAAATGTTGACTGAACTCCTTGGGGGAGAATCGTATGTCCCTTGCATTCTGCCATATATTTCATGTTATAGCAGTCTCGGATGATAACCCAGCACATGTTGTTCATTTTAAGAACACTTTCGCTACAGATTTGACAAAACGCAAAGAAGGTACCAATGTGAGATTTCTGAAGCTAGCTACAGCACTTAACCCAAGGTTTAAGAATCTGAAGTGCCATCCAAAATCTGAGAGGAACAAGGTGGAGCATGCTTTCAGAAGGCTTAAAAGAGCAACACTCCGATGTGGAAACTACAGAATCCGAACCACCGAAAAAGAAAATCAACCTTCTGCTGGTGGCATCTGACTCGGATGGAGAAAATGAACATGCGTCGGGCCGCTCTGCTTTGGCTCGTTCTCGAGCAGAACCAGTCATCAGCATGGCCGCATGTCCTCTGGAATGGTGGTTGAAGCATGAAGGGGCATACGAACATTTAGCATATCTGGCACGTAAATATCTTGCGACACCGGCTACAACAGTGCCACGCGAACGCCTGTTCTCGCTTTCTGGTGCAATGTAAACAAGAAGCGGGCAGCATGATCTCCTGCAAATGTAAAGAAACTTGTCTGTCTGAGCGATTGGCTGAACAAGAAGTAGGACTGAGTGGACTTGTAGGCTCGAAAGTTTTACATTGTTTTATTTTTGATTGCAGTTATTTTTTTGTGCATAATTCTACATTTGTAAGTTCAACTGTCATGGTAAAGAGATTGCACTACAGTACTTGTATGAGGTGAATTGAAAAATACTATTTTGTTTGTTTTTACTATGCAAATATTTGTAATAAAAGTAAAATAAAAAGTGAGCACTGTACACTTTGTGTTTTGTGTTGTCATTGAAATCAATATATTTGAAAATATAGAAAACATCCAAAAATATGTCAATAAATAGTATTCTATTATTGGTTAACAGTGCGATTAATCGCGATTAATTTTTTTAATCGCTTGACAGCCCTAGTCAAAATTTGTTTAATTTTTCAGCCATTTCTTGGGGAGGGTGGATGGTTGGCCAATTTTTATAGCCCAAATTTGGTCGATTATTTTCAACTAACCGTTTTTTTAGCCCATTTGTTTTGCAGCTGTTTGTATTATCTGGCAATTTTTTCGTGATTTTCCAGTTTCCTGGGTGATTTTTTTTTTTAGCCAATGTCAAAATTTAGACGGAAATGGAAAACCATTGGGCAGGTTGTGATTTGCTATGGAAACTCCGCCCCATATTCCGATCAACTCTAATAAGGGAGTTCTGCTTAATAGCTTCTCTTGACTTGCCTTTCTGCGGAGCGGGGCAGTTGGGGGGATATTTACTCTTGTGCAGAATCACGTGTTTCGATCGTGGCATCGGGGCCGAGACGGTCCCAGCTGATCATGGGTTGGGCATTTGTCTCCACAGAGGCGGCAGTGAGCAGGCTGCAAACAGAATGAAATCCCAGTAGAGGCCAGGTAAGGGCTGGCAGAGCGCCATCTCTGTGCACTTGGATGTTAGCCACATCCAAATCTTCACCCCTATTCTGCGTGTTATGGTGGCGCATCAACACGCTGAGATCAGGGCCCCGGTTGTGCCAGGTGCTGTACAGACACAGAGCAATCCCCGCGCCCCACAGCGCCCCCTGCTGTGGGGTGCAGTAGCTGGCAGTACGTTCTCTGCCCTACGTGACCACAGTTTCTCTTCTCGCAGGCCGGACGCAGCCAGAGCTGGAGGAGAGGATTCGTTGCTGGGCCTGGGGAGTCTTTCAGGGACAGGACGGCTGGAGGGCCCAGGCCAGGGGATTGGGGCGGGGAGCAGCTAGGATGCTCCCCAGCAGCCGGCCGGCTGGCCAGGGCACGGGGCAGCGAGTGTCACGGCTTTCCCGGCTTTGCCTATTAAACTTTGCAGTGAACTTTGGGTCGGGGTTGTGTGTGCAACTGTCCCTCCTCCACGGCTGCCAGTGACCACCAAGGCTCAGGGCTGGACCTCTGCCCTAGGGTGGCGCTAGGGCCTGGGCTGCAGGGAGGGGGCTGAGTGGGGCGGGGTTGGGGGAGGTGTCAGGGGACGCCGAGGGGGGGACTGTGTGGGGGGGCATTCAGGACGGTGATGGGGGAGCAGTGGGGGGGGATGGGATCAGGGGGCACGTTCAAGGGGGTGAGGAGAGCAGCGTAGGACGGTTCTGGGGGGGCGTACGGGGATGGTGTGGGAAGCAGAGTGGGGGGGACTGGTCTCCAGGGGGGGCGTTCAGGGGGATGGAGTGAGCAGCGTGGGAGGGCTCTGTGGGGGGCCGTATGGGATGGTGGGGGGAACAGAGTGGAGGGGACTGGCTCAGGGGGGGCATTCAAGGGGGTGGAGTGAGCAGCGTGGGAGGGTTCGGGGGGGCGTATGGGATGGTGGATGGAGCAGAGTGGGGGGGACTGG